AACGCACTCACTCCTTGATAAAAGTACAAACGCCTCTACCGACCTCCTTGATAAAAGTACAAACGCCTCTATCGACCTCCTTGATAAAAGTACAAACGCCTCTATCGACCTCCTTGATAAAAGTACAAGCACATCTACCGACCTCCTTGATAAAAGTACAAGCACCTCTATCGACCTCCTTGATAAAAGTACAAACGCCTCTATCGACCTCCTTGATAAAAGTACAAACGCCTCTACCGACCTCCTTGATAAAAGTACAAGCACCTACACTGACCTCCTTGATAAAAGTACAAACGCCTCTACCGACCTCCTTGATAAAAGTACAAGCACTTCCACCGACCTCCTTGATAAAGGTACCAGTACCTGTACCGATCTCCTTGATAAAGGTACTAGCACCTCTGCCGACCTCCTTGATAAAGGTACTAGCGCCTCTACCGATCTCCTTGATAAAGGTACTAGCACCTCTGCCGACCTCCTTGATAAAGGTACTAGCGCCTCTACCGACCTCCTTGATAAAGGTACTAGCGCCTCTACCGACCTCCTTCATAAAAGTACAAACACCTCTACCGACCTCCTTGATAAAAGTACAAACGCCTCTACCGACCTCCTTGATAAAAGTTACAAACGCCTCTACCGACCTCCTTGATAAAAGTACAAACGCCTCTACCGACCTCCTTGATAAAAGTACAAGCACCTCTATCGACTTCCTTGATAAAAGTACAAACGCCTCTACCGACCTCCTTGATAAAAGTACAAACGCCTCTACCGACCTCCTTGATAAATGTACAAGCACCTGTACCGACCTCCTTGATAAAGGTACAAACGCCTCTACCGACCTCCTTGATAAAAGTACAAACGCCTCTACCGACCTCCTTGATAAAGGTACAAACACCTCTATCGACCTCCTTGATAAAAGTACAAACGCCTCTACCGACCTCCTTGATAAAGGTACTAGCGCCTCAACCGACCTCCTTGATAAAGGTACTAGCGCCTCTACCGACCTCCTTGATATAGGTACTAGCGCCTCTACCGACCTCCTTGATAAAGGTACTAGGACCTCTACCGGCCTCCTTGCTTTGCATTGAAACAAATGAGTGAGTGAGTTGAGTTTTGCGCCGCAATATTCCAGCAACATGACTGGGGCAATGGGCTGCACACATTGTAGCCATGTGGAGAATGAAAACCCGGTCCTTCGGCTTGTCGAGCGAACGCTTATTCCAACAGGCTACCCAACCGCCCCTTAACAACTTCGAAATGCCAGTTAAACACACCGACAAGTGATAGTTCATTCGTATTCCCGAACACCATACATTCTGTGACATACCCATTATATACTTCCAAGCTCAAATTCCACTGAGCTGCGACAGTAGACCATCGCAAGACATGAATCTCACATTCACAGACGTGGTATAACTATTTCATGGACATCAGGTTGCCATACAGAGGGAAACAGATATAAACACATCCTCGTCATTTGTTGGCATCAGACTTGTTAGATATTGTATACACGTATCATACAATATTGATTATATAACTATCTTTCTACATGGGATTATATTAGCTCTGGAATTTCACCCCAAATGGATCCACAAGTAGAATCCAGATCTCAATTGCCAATACAAACATGGTGTTGTCGTGGAAATGACGTCATGTTCACGATTACTAAATAAACTGCCGGGGAAAAACATTACAAACATTATCAAAACGTCACTAGGCTGAAAACAGTCGACGAAACAAGGTCCTTAACACAGCCATGTTGCTCTTACCAAATACATCACCATTGAATAACCATTTCCTGTTTGTTTCATTGTAGCCGCCAACAAACACGGTATACTTATAATTACAAATGCCAGGCAGTTTATCACACATGATTAAGATGCTAAGAGAAATAATTCTAAAAAATGCAAACGAATTATCAAGACATGTTTGCAAGATGTGACAAAGGGCGGATTTCATTTATTAAATTAACCTTTTGCGGAAAATCAAATTTAGAGAATAACTTTCTAATATATATAACAAACAATCACACAAAAAAGGATATACAATACAATTGATAATTATCACGAGTACAGCATGCACACACAAATAGTGACATTAAATTTAAACCCAACGCATCTAATCTCAAAGATCAGGAACGAAATAACATGTCCGCTATTAATAGAATACGAGACTGGAGCAAGTCTAGACGAAAATATCAATAAGGATGTTCTTTATCCACTTACAAGGAAAAGACGAGGGCAAAAAAAGTGGATACACAGGAATATTATAACCGGGCGTGTCATTCACATAGCGTGGGGCCATTGAGCACATCCTCTTACAGTGAATAACATCAGCGTCATTGAGCATGACACATTATAATGTGGATTTCAATGGCTCTGTCTATCTCTCCCTCTTAGCTGTGTAGATCAATAGCGCGGACTAGGGTGCTGGATGTAACAGATTAACGCCTAATTAATTCAATATTGATAAGAGGACGTGAAATATTCATGCATAACGGCTTTAATATTCTGCTTACCTGTTTGATTGCACTTGCTCATAGGAGGTCGACACGATAGCGCCATTGTCTCATTGACAGGTGGAACGACTTTCACGTTCAAACTGAATTACTGACAATTAGGCATTGCGTGTTTCTGTTGTGTTAATACTTTCCATTTTTTTGTTGTGTATTTTGAGAATCGTTATGTTTATTTTTTTTTCAGTAGGTGACACAAATGCTGACATGACTGTATGTAATTAACCTGCCTTTTCTCAGACCAGCAGTTATAAAAACAAACATGCGGTTTGGCAGTGATTTCGATATTGATCGACATGTACAATCACGCCGGCTGTCTGACACGTGATGTGTTCTTACACCTGTAATTAAGCAGGAAGAACACAAACAATTTACCGCTATCTAACATAAACAAAAACAACACAGGTAAAATAAGTTAACGGTATAACTCGTAACCCCTGCCTTGAATTTTATTAAAGCCATAACCCCTGGCTGGAAGTATTAAAAATCATTTATGTAGGATTTGTGTGAAGAGTTAGGGTTAGGGTTAGGGTTAGGGTTAGGGTTAGGTTGCCCTAACCCAGGCAAACTTTTAAGCAGGGGTCATTGGCGGAAATATTTCCTTGTTCCGTTAGTAACTAATACATCAAATTGAGACAGTAATATTAAGCAAACAGGCATATCTGTGGCCATTTCACAAACCACTTAATTTACATCTTAACAAAGCACAGTGATTTGGGCTATAGGTAATAGATAGACGCGTCATTATAGCTGTGAAGCTGTAAACTAGGTAGGTAGTCACTATTAAACATACCTAGTTACTAATGACATACAAAGTGACTTCAATAATCACCTTATAACGCCTTCTGCCTTCTTGTGTATGTGGAAGGGCGCTAAACAACTAAATACATGGGCGTATGAGGGAACCTTGTTAAAGTGCATGCGCGGGGTGAAGGGGTACAAATCCAGAGGGTGCTGTAAGGGTGCGCACCCCGTTTCTTGGCAGCAAAACCTAACCATTTATACTACTCACAAAAAGTTAAAGTACACCATGGATGGACTGTCATATAACTATAGCTAATCTGTCTGCCATGACAGATTAACTATGGCAATATGAGTGTGAGTTAAAATTTAACGTCGCATCGGAATTATTTCAGCCATATAGTGTATATAGCAATATGTAAGAAGCGGTGTTCCTTAACTTTTTTGAGTAGTATATATACATTTTTAGGTTTAATAGGTGATCGAGTGTGTAAACGTAATAACTTGCTACTCTGATATGTTTTCATCAAAATACACTATATAACACGAAATGCCAAAATATACACCTCCCCTTAAAAAAAGCTGTATCTGCGATTGTATAGGCAAAATGTGGAAGTGAAACAAGCACTTGGATAAGAACGACAAAGTTCTGACTATGCACAGTACCAGGTTTGAGCACGGACCTATACTACAAGTCCGTGGTTTGAGGTAGGTCAACTGCGACCTGTTCAACGCACGCAATCTCTGTTATGCAAATTTAACGGACTAAATAAGCATATGCACTAAACAACATGAATGCATTATTAATACATTTTTGTATTTACCATAGATTTATGACACGACACGACCAGTAGCTGTACAGCAGCTTGAATGTTAATGGCACGCGCACGTGGATCGTGCGATTATTATCGCCTAAACAGCTGACGATTGCTTCACAGGAACGTAATATAGCGTCAATGCGTTTATCTTATTTGATAGAGAAATTAAATCCCAAATATTCAGGGACCCCCATAGCCTGCTCGTAAACAGCGCAAAGCAAGGAAACAAACAAACATTTTAGAATGACCCGGGAAGAATAAAAAGCGGGTCAAAGGGCGACCAAGTACAATTTAAGCTGGTTGGCTGAAAGCTGCTCTTCACAGGGCCCCATTGTACTTCCTTCACAACTCAATACAAACTAAAATAGCTAAAACTTTGGCGTTTTCATCACTATTGCTAACCTCCGCCCAACACAAATAAATATTTCTTGGTTGCCATGGTAACTTGACAATGACTCCGACAATACATATTTAGAATTATACAGATGTTTACAATGTGTTAGAACAGCGGGGGCTGGAATGCGGTGTGTCTCCAGTGATAATATCATTACCCGATCAGCGGAGTGTACACAGCAACAAATCCATCACCGAACGTACTCTTAAACCCTCGAGACGAAACCGTTTTCTTATCGCCGACCTGCTAATCTCTACCGCCATATTACACAAGACCCGGAAGTATTTCAGGAGCAGGAATCAATTAGCGACATCCTTTAATTATATTCCCTCTACATGAGGAAATAACCTTGCCAGGAATTCGTCATAAATGGCGAATTTATAGCAAACCAGTGACACTAAATCGTCACGCTAGTTGCTCATATGTATGACCGCTGTTCACTGATGTGTGCAAAATATATTTCATATATTATATATCACAGTTTATCAATACATCGCTAAAATCACAATCGAAATGAAAGAGGATGCAAACTCACATGATATGCGTCTCAATGTAAATCCTTCCCAGAGGTTAGAAAAACGCCATAGCTGTTCGCTGATGTTTCTATTTTTACCTCAACGCCAAACGACATGGGCCGGTAAAGGCAGACACGACACCTGGGGTCGACGCGATCTCGTGCGATGAGACGAGTCAGTCTGTAGCTGTATCCCCAGTGATGAAGGACAACTGATAATCAGGCTAGCTATATGCATATCACGTGAGGTTACACTGAGAGGTTAAAGTATATCTACCATGTTTACC